CGCGCCGGTGGGGGGGGGGGGGGGGGCTCTTTGTCTTCTCATCATGAGACCAGGGCACAACAACCTCAGTTTCGTCAGTGTAACTCCTGGGGGAGAGTTCGTCTTCCACATCTAGTTAAAAACGACGACAGTCGCAGCAAAAAGGGCACCTGAAAGCCCACGCCGCGGAGGTGCACATGAACACAGAAAAGGGGCGGGGGAGGCGGGAACTGCCATCAAGCCGTAACCGGCTTCCGGTGACCCCTCCCGGGGGTTCCAAGGCAAGAGGCGTTCAGAAGGCGGTTGGCCCCAGCCGGCCTCCGCGTAGCTACCCTGGACTCCCTTGGGGGGGTCCCCCACCCAAGCGCTAACCGGGACCGACCCTGCTCAGCAGCCAAGATCTGGCGAGGAGAGCGGGTGAGCCCAGGCCAGCCAGGTCGGGGCCCGAGAGAGAGCAGAGAAGCCTTCATTGGGGAGCCCCTTCTGCTTCCGGGGGCTCCTCCTTTCCTGGGACAGGGCAGGAGAAAACCCAGGGAAACCAACGTTGCCGTCTCGCCGTCGCTGTGACGCCCGGCCATGCGGGAGGACGGGAGCTGGCATGGTCGGGGCACCTGGCGAGGGCCTGGGAACGCCCACTCCGCCAGGAAGGTGTTCTGGCCCCAGCCCCCCGCAGGGATCTTGTGGAAATGAGAAGGGGCAGGGACAGTCCCGGGCCCCCTCTGAGCTGTGGAGGGTTCGGGGAGTTTGACACGGGTGCTTCTGTGTGTCCTAGGCGGGGGCTGACCTTCGTCTCGGTCCACGACTGCTACTGGACTCACGCGCTCACTGTGGACATCATGAATCAGGTGAGGCTCCTCTCTCTCTCGGACCAACCCAAGGCAGAGCCTTCTGCGGGCATCCACCACGCTTTGTGCCTTTGTCCAATGGAGTGGATCCCCCCCCGTAGTCCAGAAATGGCACAGACCGTGCTAGTCTTTGGCTGCAGGATTCGGCTTGGGGGGGGGGCCACACAACCGCTTGGTTTCAGTACCCAAAGCAAGTCCTTCGCCCTTCTTGGGTGTGCAGCAGCGATGTTCAGGAAGGGTGTTAGCGACGCCTGGCAAGATCTCAGAAGAGCCCGTGGGCTGTTGGGGGGGGCAGGAATTCGGTACCCTGTGTGTGTGGCTCTCCACAGGGAGCAAACCCCAAACCAAAGGGAGCCGAGAGGAAATGAATTTGCTCGATTTGCGTACGTGACATGGGGCCGTGGGATTTTTCCCCTAGTTGCGTTTTCAGCCAAAAACCGGCTCCCGAAGTCGCTCATAGCAACCACCGCAGAGTCAATTAAGATTCCGTACCGGTTGCTGCCCTTTCTCTGCCGATTCTGATCCTGACTGGAGTCTGGAGCCCCCTCCTGATGAGCAGGCCTGCCAGGACCGAGGGCTTTGTGCTGCCAAGCGAGCTCGGTGTCCCTTGTGTGTGATGGGCTCGGTTCCCTCGGGGCACTTGAGGTGGGAGGGTTCCAGGTCGGAGCAGGGCCTCTGGCTCCCGGGAGACGGGAGAGGTCTCGGCTCCTCCTGGGGCCTGCAGGGGGCACCCTGGCTGGGATGCGGGGAGCCTGGGGGCCTCTGGGATGGAAGAGGGGTGGCTCCCAACTGGAGTCTGATGCTGCGACGAGAGGGAGGGGGTGCTGTCTCGGCTCCTCCTGGGGCCTGCAGGGGCACCCTGGCTGGGATGCGGGGAGGCTGGGGGCCTCTGGGATGGAAGCGGGAAGAGGGGTGGCTCCCAACTGGAATCTTCGACGAGAGGGAGGGGGTGTTCAGCTCCCTAACCCTGCAGGTCTTTTTCAGCACTGAGTATTCCGTGCCCAAACTCTCCCAGACATAACAAGTCTGGTCCGCTGCCTCCTCCCCAGCTCTCGCTATTGACCCGGCAGACGTTTCCCAGCTTCTGCGTCTGCAGAATCGATTGCTGGAACAAAACCTGTGCAGATCAAAAGGGCGCGTGAAGCAGCCTGGCAAAGGGTTGTGTTTGCGCGATCCCCTCCCCCCATTTCCTGGGCTGAGTCTCTGGTTTGGCACATCCTCTAAGAGAGGGGAGCTGGGGAGGGGGAGGGATGAATGTCAGTGCTGCCTGGGGGGGGCAGCTGAGGGGGAGCTGTTCATCCCCCCCAGGGCCTGCTCACCGAGCTGGCTTTTGGGATCGGTGGCTCCTGACTAAGTCTCGGTTCTGCCCTTCTCCCACTTTCTGTGCTCCAGGTATGCCGAGAGCAGTTTGTGGAGCTCCACAGCCAGCCCATCTTGCAGGACCTGTCCAAGTTCATGCTGCAGAAATACTGTGCCAAATCGCCGTGAGTGTGCCAGTTGTTTTTCTCTTTCCCCACCAGATCACCATCTGATTTTTATTTGGTTGGGGGGTTTTTGCACCTTAAATGAACCTCCACAGGGCTTCGGAAAGGTAAAAAGTAGACAGTCGTGAGCCTGGAGTTAGCCCATTCTTGAGGGTGAATATTATGCGTCTTGTATCTGACAGCTAAGGGCCACACCCTGCGTGAATAAAGGAAAACGTTCTCCGTGGGGCCAGCGATGAGCTTCCCCGGGTTTGCAGAAGAACTGGCTTTATTTTTAAAAAGTGGGGACAGCCCAGCCCGCCCCCCAAAACAGCAATATCTGTGCATATGCAAACATTGCCCCCCCCCCGAAAACGTAGAATCCAGAGAGCATAGTGAGTTGCCCTAGCAACCTAAGATGGCACCTCGTATCGAGGGTCGGTCGTATCACATGCTTAAGTCAGCTGACCTACAGAAGCATTGTGGGTGGATTTGGGATATGGGGAAAGGGCTGCTTTGTCTAAAGGGTGACCTCCTGGATGAAAGCTGTCGTGGTCATGGGAGGAGAAGAGCCTCCATTCAGGCCGGAGGGGGAGAGAGGGAGCAGTTTCAGTAGCCGGGGGCTCCCAGAGACTTCTGCTGTGGAGTTGCCAGGAAAGGCAGTGAGGTTTCTTAGCTAAGAGTTCCCTGGTGCGAACTTCAGCATTCTAAGAAAAACGACTGTTCCTTGACTTGCATTGAGATAAAGGGCTGGAAGAAAGGAGGTTTGAATTGAATTATCTGTGCAAACTAATTTGTCATATAGCAAAATCTCATTTCCCTTCCCCCTCCCTAGGACTCAGTGGAGGGGCAAGGCGGCCCTGGAGTACCGTCGGCTGGTGCAGTTGCTGTCCAAAGTTCCCAATAGCGGTACGGACAATGGAGAATGTTGTTGTTGGTTCTGGGGACTGGTGATTTCCGGGAATGAAAGAGAGACTGCTTGTGTGCCCCAGAGTCCCTCCCCGGTTTTCTTACTTGTGTCGCTGTCTAAGCAAACGTTGTTGAATGTGGGCTGCTGTGAGCCTCACTGAGGCCCATGGGAGCTGAGGTAAAGCCAGACGATTAAGAATCGATGGTCCAGTAATTGGATACCTTGACATTTGGAGCCTGTTGGGGTGAGGCTTGCCTTACAAATGAATTTACACAAAGGTGCTCGGCTGCCGAGAACCGACGTTTGTAAGGATTCCCCGCTTCATCACTTGGAGGCAACTTTCTGAAAGCGAGCGGATGTTTCCAATCCTCTGCTGGCCTACATGATGTGTTCTGCCAGTCTGTTTCCTGAGGACCTCTCCATCAAAGGTGAAGCAGGTTTCTAGTCCTTGTGGCTACAAAGACGTCTTTGATCGGCAGTGACTCCACCAATCCAGTCTGAGATGGTTATTATAGCTCAGTTAAATGTATCAACTTACTTGAAGTGTACCCGGTTATGGCCGTCAATGTGTGGAAGGCCCCTTCTAGTGTCAAAATGAGCGCAAGCTCTGCAGTACCCATTTAAAATTGTGTTGGTAAAGATTTGTTACTTGCACCAACCTCTTTAAGTGTCTGGTTTAAAACCGAAATCTGCAGGACCAAGGACAGCTCCACAGCAGCACATTCCTTGCCCTGATGGTTGGCCACATTCATTTGAGCCAAAGCCCTGAATGCTCACAAAAGAAGGGCAGCTCCTAGCCAGTTCTGTTGGCAACCGTGAGCAAGAAGCCAGGGACGACAGCGGAGTCCTAGACAATTGTGGAGCGGATTCCTTGGGAGACTCCCGCTGGTCCCTCAAGTGGTTTGCATTCCTGAGCTCGGGCTCTGGATCCGAGACCGCGTCCAGGCGGCTCCTTTTCGAGCAGAGCTGCCCGCCGCCTTTGGAGCATGTCCACTTTTAGATGTCGCTTCCTCGGGATTCGGTGCCTGAACTGCTGTGGACCTGATGCCAGTCCCCAATGCTTCCCTGTAGCAAATCCAGCTCCTAAATAATGGCATTTCAAGGAACGTTTCCGGAGGTGCAACTCACTGGCATCTTCTTATCCCTTCTTTGGTTTCCTCCTTTCTGTGAGCTCCTGTAATCTTACCTTTTTAAGCCTCTTTGTTCTCTTCGCACAGCTTTCATAGTCTGTGTCGTCGTCCTCTCCCCGTTTATTTCTAACAGGAGCTCAGCTGCCTTGGTCATTGTCTGGGTCCGTGAAAGACCCAGTTAGCTTAACTTACTCGTAAACTTAGTTCCCAACCACCACATACACCATCTGATTCCCATACGTTTCTTCCACTGCATCTCTAAGGATTGCACTTATAAAACTTAGCATCTGTATAGCCTTTTTGATTGTTCAAAGTGCTTCACAGCCTCACCTCAGCCCAGGAAAGGAGGTCAGTGTTATCTGGGCTGAGAAAATAGGTCTCACCTATTGAGTTCGTGGCTGAGGTGCATTACAGACACCCAGGTTTTAGCCTGCAGCGGCACATCGACTTTCTTCGATTGGGACACCTGCGGCTCCATGCTGAACCAGTGTGGCTTTATGAGGTTGCTAGAAAGGACCTCAAATCAATCATGAAGGCTTCTAGTTCTCATGAAGGCGGCAACCGTTGTGGCCGGGTATCTGTTCATCTCCACTGGCCAACGGTCAGGCTCCTCATAATTGCGATTTGTACAAGCAGAAGAGCAAAGAGTTTCTGATACCTTTAGGGCTATCAGGTTTGGAGTTGCAGAGGCTTCTAGTTCTCATGAAGGCGGCAACCATTGTGCCTGGGTATCTCCCCTGGCCAGCTGTCAAGCTCCTCATAATTGCAATTTGTACAAGCAGAAGAGCAAAAAGTTTCTGATACCTTTAGGGCTATCAGGTTTGGCGTTGCAGATTCACATTGCCTTGAGTGACAGCCCAGTCTATCACTTCTGGGTTCTCTGATGGCTTTCTCCCCACCCTCTTCTCTCTTAACAAACTACACCCGTTTGGTGTAGTGGTTAAGTGCACCAACTCTAATCTGGGAGAACCGGGTTTGGTTCCCCACTCCTTCGCATGCAGCTGCTGGTGTGACCTTGGGTCAGTCACAAGTTCTCTCAGAGCTGTTCTGGAAAGACCAGTCCTCAAAAGAACTCTCTCAGCCCCACCAACCTCACAGGGTGTCTGCTGTGGGGAGGGGGAGGAAAAGGAGATCTGTATATGCCACTCTGACACTCCAAGTGAAGGGCGGGGTATAAATCCAGTCTCTTCCTCCTCCCCTTCTTCTCCTCTCCTCCTCCTCCTCCTCCTCTTTTTTTTGTGTGTGGCCATCACATCTCTCAGAATGGCCTCTAGTTGACACAGAATTAGGCTGCAATAAATGTCAGGTGCCTTGGCTGCAGTAGGGGAAGTAGGGGCCCACCAATATGATGGGGCCATGGCCTCAAAGGGCAGGACCCCTCTCAGTGGCCCTTCCTGATCCCTGCCCTCTTCTAGTCCCTCAGAACTGTGAGCATCTCAGAATAAGAGCCGGCTCGGACACCCCAACCCTTTTGAGCCCACAGGCACCTTTCAGAATTCTGACGCCACGTGGTGGGGTGCAGCCACAAAACGGCCACTGGAGGAGGTGGAGCCAGCCACAAAATGGCTGCCGCCGCTTCCCTTCAATCACGCCGTGAAGATCCTTGTGCACTGCCAGTCAAATCTCCAGCAGCCAATTAGAAGCCTTGCTGGTCAGAGGCCCCACCTGGCTCCACCGCTTTCTGAAAGCTCTTGGTGGGCCCCAGGGAAGGTGTCAGGGCCACACTGGGGGTGGGGCGTGCTCCAAGCGTCTTCCTCCCATTCAATCACCTGAGCAGGCATGGAAGCCTCTGGGCGCGTGGAGAGTGTAGCTGGGGTTCCAGCCTCCAGCTGGGCAGGAAGGGGGTGACGTGCCCAAGGGCACGAGGCAGAAGTGGGGTGAACTTGGGGCAGCCAGATCTTTTTTCCCTTGAGTGCACTGCAACCCTGTGCCCAGTGCGTATGACCAGCTCCTGGGCGTGTGTTTGCCCAAGTAGGTGTGGAACGGACGGCCACTCCCTCCCTCTGCCAAGACACAAGTCCCCGCTGGCTAACTCGCTCAGTGCTTTCTTTCTAGAAAATACGCCTCCCGAGGTTTTCTTTAACTGGTCTCCTTTAGTCAAAGACTAGGAACTTCATGCCCCTGAGCAGTGTTCCCTCTAAGCTGAGTTTGTATGAGCTAGCTCACAGTTTTTTAGCCTCCGGCTCACACCTTTTTGCCTTAGCTCAGGAAGGAGGGCTCCAGAGCAAACTTAATTTCTGCAGTAGCCAAATGGCTCACTCACAACTTTAATGCCAGTAGCTCACAGAGTAGAATTTTGGCTCACAAGACTCCACAGCTTACAGGGAGCATTGCCCCTGAGTATCATTTATGTCGCTGTGGTTACTCCATGCAGGAAAGCAAAAAGGGAGAGTGGGCGACTGGTCGCACAGAATTAGTGGCTTAGTTGTTAATCGATCTGTGGGTTTTGTCCCCTCACTTTGATTCTGGGATGCAACTTGCAGCATTAGTTTGGCTTCATTTCTTTGTGAACTGTTCCTGGCGAGAAGCGCGCAGCTTTTTTTGCTGCATGTTGCCCAGAAGCTGCTGTGCCATCGGGCAGGGTGCTTCCCCTCGCACGCAGGGCCTCGTTGGGAGGCCCACCAGCCTCAAGGCTGTTGTGTGAGAGGCAGGGTGCCGCTACTGTGTTGTCTCAACATGCACCCCCTGCCCACGTCTGCCGTATCTCTGTCCCTGTTCTCCATAGCCTTCCCACTGTCAAACACATGACCCTCCCGGGGTGCGTTCTTGGCCATTTGCCCGGCTTCCCTTCTCTTTGAAGGCCTGGCGAGGACCCAAAAATCAGTTATTATTTATTCTTCATTGGGGGAGGGGGGCTCTTTGCTCTTGAGCACTTTTTAATAACCCTACCAGTATATATTCCGGTTGGGTCGCCATGTTAGTCTGAAGCAACAGAACAAAGTTTGAGTCCAGTCGGGCACCTTTCAGACCAACCAAGTTTAATTCTGTGTATAATAACACTGTGTGCATGCACATGAAAGCTTATACCCAGAATTAAACTTGGTTGATCTGAAAGGTGCCACTTAAAAATAGGGACAAAAAAGAGAAGAGGGAAAAAACTGTACCTAAAATCTAGAATTCAGAACCTAAAAAGGTTAGTCAAGAATAGAAGAGGGCCAGCTCTAAAAATCTAATTATGAAACGTACAAAAATATACATGTATTTATTCAACACAAATTAAAATAACAAATAAGGGCCCATTCATACCTCATATACAAATATTAAAAACATACAAAATGTATGTTTTTATATTTGTATATGAGGTATGAATGGGCCCTTATTTGTTATTTTAATTTGTGTTGAATAAATACATGTATATTTTTGTATGCCACTTAAAAATAAACATGAGTATTCCTTTGGAATACCAAAAGCAAACATGGGAAGATTCTGGGAAATTCTGTAGGGCTTTTTTTCACACCTGAATTTTGATCTTGAGTCAAGAATGGTGTTTAAACCAGTGCTTCCCAGAAATCTGTGAGTCTTTAAAACAAAATAAACTGAAATGTGCTTCTGATTTTTAAAAAGGAGCACACTTTTCTCTCTTTATTTACATCATATACCGTCCCCCTTTCTCACTCAGACTCGTGGCAGATTACAGAAAGCAAGGGCCTTGGTGTGGCAAAGTAAGAATGACCAGTCCATTTTTGCATGAGCTGATGCCATGGGGTTTGTCGTCTGCTGGGAATGGATGACATCCAATTCAGGGACTCTTACAGAGCTGCAACAGGCAGCCTCTAAAGGCACGTCATTCTGCAGTTGCTGAATCATTCAACTTTGTGTAGTGCAGGAAGGCAGCGGATTAATCTGTCTCCAGGGGAGGCCAATAGGAAGGGGCTGGAGGCCAGAGTTTGTCCAGCTGATCTTGCAGAAATGTGGTGGGTTGTCTCTTCTTACTGATAGATACTTCTGAGCTCCCAGGAACTTTCTGTTAACCAGTTAACACTCTCTGTCTGGTACACAGATTCAGGTGGGTCGCTGTGTGTCGGTCTGAAGCAGCAGAACAGAGTTTGAGTCCAGTCAGGCACCTTGAAGACCAACCATGGTCTTGTGCCCACAAAAGCTTATGCCAGGAATAAAACTCTGTTGGTCTTAAAGGGGCTGCTAGACTCACACTTTGGTTTTCTGGCTTACAGTTTCGAGATTCCAGTTTTGAACGGTCACGTGTTTGAACGTTGTGGGTGAAAAGGTGGCAGGGCAAGCCGAGGGCAGGGGCCTCTCTCGGCCACGGGGCGGCCGTTTGGTGTGAGCAGAGGCTGGGGGATTTCGACAAGACGATTCGGTTTCCTCCTGACTTTCCCTTTCCTCTCCCAGGTGACTTCGACCTGCAGAAGGTGAAGGAATCCACTTACTTCTTCAGCTGACCTCTGCTGCTGTTCCCCGCGTTCTGCCTGCGTGGCCCAGCCTGGGTCTAGAACGGGCCTCGCGGTCTCACCGGGGCCAGGAACAAGGGGCTGGTCCCTCCCACCATTCCCTGCAGCCCAGGCTCGGCCTCCCCGGAGAACTGCTGCCGCGCCTGTTCTCGGCTGCCGGGAGCAGCGGAGTCCTGCTGTGAGCCCCATGTGTGTCAAGAGCACCCTTGTTCCCTTGTGTGGTGGAGGGGGCTGACGGCATGAGGGGCCATTGCACATTGGGCCCGGGAGCGTGGTGGTGGTGCCTGCCAACAGAGGTGTGTCTGTGTGTGCCCAAGTGAAAGAAACTGGCCGTTGGGTCTTGTCTTCCGCAGGTCTTCTGCGGCGCCGTGTTTTTGCCTTGTGTTTTCCTGCCTCCTCCAGAGGAAGTTGGGGCTGTAGCCCAGGCAGACTTCCTTCAAGGACTTCTCCCTTCCTTTGGTTTTCGCTGTGGTCCGGGGGCTGCAGTCCTCGAGCCACCAGCTGCCCCCCTTGCAGATTCCATGCTTGGGGAGGGAAGGGGGCCCCACCTGGCTGCACTCTGTCTCTCCTGCCTGGAATCCTCTGTCCTCCCATCAGGACGGCATCATGGGGGGGGGGGGAGCTCTGCTTGGGAAATGACCCTGGGAATGTCTCTTCTTGGGGCAAATCTAGAAGTCTGATCTGCCTCCCACAGACAAAAGACCACAAAGCATCTTGTGAAATCGAGCTTGGCTGCCAGGGGCAAGCCTGGGTGAGCCACTGGCCCCTGCTGTCCCCCCCCCCTTAAAGAGGTCCTCCGGGGGGGAAAGAATTGCTGGCCAGGCGTCGTAAGGATTCATGCTTACACATTGGGGAAAGGGAGCTTCCTTCCTGTGCAGTTCTGGTCTGCCGACTGACGCAGTCCTCCACCCCCCCAGCTCCAGATACTCGGGTGGGCCCTTCATCCAACGGGGCCCCCCCATCCTGGGAGGAGCGTTCAGGGATGGCGCTTTCCCCTTCTTTCGAGAGTAAGTGTGGGTCAGTCCCTGAGTTTCCCCTGAGGGGATATCCTTCCCTTTCCCCTCTGCTAGTTGCTGTTTCAACCTGGCGGTTATCAATTACTGTAAGCAATTAAAAGAAACAAAAGGTTTTGAAATCTCTGCTGTGCCTCTCATTGGCCTCTTGAATCTCCGCCGTCTGTAATCACCAATCCACACACGTAGCAAAAAATACATTGATAAGGGCTCTCGTCGATTGGAAAGGCCTGCTCAGGGACAAGGGGAGGCTGCCCTCTGAATCTCTGTAAAGGGTCGCTGTTTCAGACTTTGCTTTTCAGAGAATCCTAGGATTGGAAGGGGTCATAGAGGCCATCTAGTCCCAACCCCCTGCTTAGTGCAGGATCAGCCTGGAGGATCCCTGACAAGCCTTCGTCCGTCTGTTGCTTGAAGACTGCCAGTGGGTGGGGGTGAAGCTCACCACCTCCCAAGGCAGCCCATTCCAATGCTGAACAACTCTTACTGTAAATATATAATTTTTCATATGCATGTACACAAACGCTCATACCCAGAATTAAACTCTCTGTCCGTTGCCTGATCCTGGCAGTATCCAGGGACTGTTGCCCTTGCGCATGAGTCCTCACAGGTGAAGCAGCACCTGATGCTGCCTCAGCTTTCCCCAGGCTGAGTTTGCATGCTCGGTTCACACGTGCGCACGTTCTTTGGGAACGGGCAGGGCTGTATCAGGTCTCCTGAGGGTCTCCACTTCTGTTTTAAGAAAATGAAGAAGAGGTTTGTAGCTGCCACCGTTGGGGGAAATTGTCCAGAAAATGGCCGGACACTGCCATGAAGTGTTAGAAGAGGAGGCAAATTAGGTCTCCAGAGATTTGGGGGCACAGTTCTGGTACCCCCCTGCACCTTGGTGGCCCCGGCCTGGGTGGCCTGGCTAGTCCGATCTCAGAAGCTGAGCAGGGTCGGCCCTGGTTAGCACTTGGGTGGGAGACCAGCCAGGAAGTCCCAGGTCGCTTTGCAGAGGCAGGCAAGGGCAAACCACCTGTGAACGTCTGTCACCTTGAAAACCCCACTGGGGGGGGGGGTACCATAAGTCGGCTATGACAGGACAGCACTTTCCACACACACCCATGCCTTGCTGCCCCTCCCCGGATTTGCACAAAATAAGAAAAATGCATACTAGACATGTAGTTAAACATTGGGGGGGGGTAATATCTGAATTTGGAGCAGAGACCCAGCATGGTACGGCTTCCAAGGGCACTGGGCCCCAGTGTACATCACAGCTCAGCCAGGAGCCTCTTTCTGGCCAGTTGCATGTGCAGGTGCTCAGTGTGTCCTACCTTATGGGGCTGTTGTGAGGCTTAAAATGGCAGAGGGGATGTTTGGCTAAATGTAGAATTTTTGAGCACTTAGCAACAAGAAGATGCTGGTTTGCATTTACCAAACATTTCGTTTTTACATATGCAGCTAGAAATTTATGAGAAGTCAGAGCAAAAGGTATCCCTAACGAACACACACATTTTTTCTTACCGCTAGTGATAGTTTGTGTGCCTTTAGCTTCAAGCTCACATTCGATCTTAATGAGAATCCGTTCCTTTAAAAAAAAAAAAAAAGCTTTTTCTGCCTTAGAGACCTGTTTTGTTTAACATCTTTATAAATGATTTGGATTAAGGAATAGAGGGGATGCTTATTAAATTTGCAGATGATACTAAATTGGGGGTAGCAAATACAGTAGAAGACAGAGGATACAGGATGATCTTGACAGGCTGGAAAACTGGGCTAAAACAAATAAAATGAATTTCAATGGGGATAAATGTAAAGTTCTGCATTTAGGTAGAGAAAATCAGATGCATACTTATAGGATGAGAGAGACTTGTCTTGACAGTAGTATGTGTGAAAAGGATCTAGGGGTCTTAGTAGACCATACACTGAACATGAGGCAGCAGTATGATGCAGTATTGAAAAAGGCAAATGCCATTTTCGGCTGTATCTACAGAAGTATAGTGTCCCGATCACATGAAGTGATGGTATCACTTTACTCTGTTCTGGTTAGACCTCACCTAGAGTACTGTGTTCTGTTTTGGGCACCACAATTTAAGAATGATATAGACAAGCTGGAGAAAAAGGCAAATGCCATTTTCGGCTGTATCTACAGAAGTATAGTGTCCCGATCACATGAAGTGATGGTATCACTTTACTCTGTTCTGGTTAGACCTCACCTAGAGTACTGTGTTCTGTTTTGGGCACCACAATTTAAGAATGATATAGACAAGCTGGGATGTGTCCAGAGGAGGGCAATGGAGATGGCGAGGGGTCTGGAGACCAAGTCCTATGAGGAAAGGTTGAAGGGGCTGGGTCTGTTTAGCCTGAAGAGGAGACAACTGAGAGGTGATATGATAGCCATCTTCAAGTACTTGAAGGGCTGTCATCTAGAGAATGGTACGGAGTTATTTTCTGTTGCCCCAGAACGTCAGACCAGAACCAACAGATTGAAATTAAATCAGAAGAGTTTTCGGCTAAACATTAGGAGGAACGTCCT